AACCCGTCTCTTCAGACAGGCGACCACTCGAAGTACAAGTAAACTCTCTGCAGATAACTTTTTGTCACTGAAAATCACCTAAAGTATTTTCACCCAGATTGATCAACAATGTGTCTCACTTATGGTCGTTGTGCGACCCTTCATATTATCTTTTACATATGATAAAATACAGGAGCATCTCTCAGAATATGCTTAAATAAATCACACCAATACGAGAAAACCACAAATCGGAGTCCATGAATGGGAACTTTTTGAACTAGAAGACAAGGTGTAACTCTTTCTGACAATTGTACTGAGCGGCATTCAAAAGGCCCCTTTCCAACTTTAATGTATGCCTGCATCATTAAAGATCGCACCAAAGAGGTAGACTCCGACCGTCACATCTCCTCCATGCCAGGAATGTTGCGAAAGAAAGTTCCTTCGAACGACATCAATGCATTTCTGCAACCGCTAACGTAAAGACATAATGTGCTCCAATAACAGTCCTTCAAACGTTCAAATGTTCGCGCGCGGGAAAGTAATTTGAATGGCAGCCGGTGGCGAGATTTAATCGCGTTCCCCCGGGAGTTGTGCATACGGGCCAGTATATGGAATAAAGGACAACTATGGAATGTTTGGAGAAGTGGATCCATCCGTGAAACGTTCGACTTCAAATTTTCTTGGAACTCTGCCAGGAAAAATCGTCACTAAAAAAAAGTATTGTCTTTTTCAATACTTAATTCGCGGAGTATATTGCTCAAACCGACTGTGATGATGATTTCTCGGTATCAAAAGTATGTACGTGACGCTGGTGTTAAACTGATCCATATTACCACGGATCGTCACATATTTGCTTTAACTACTCGCAACTTTGTTCGTTGTTGAGTTTTTTTTGAAGTTGAATGAGATATTCATTTGGCCGTCGGGTTCATTTCACGCTCGTTTCACTCACTTTGGCATGTATTTATTGCTATTTTATGGAATTTTTTTGCAGTTTAATGAGTGGACCCACTCCAGAGAAAGCCCTCATTGGTGTCCCCGATAGATGGATGCATTGTCCAAAAACTGGAAAGGTTAGCGTAACAAGCTGTCACGTTTTTTTCCAAAGAGTCCTTATAGCCAAAGTCGCTGTAAAGAACATTTTTATGATGTTGGAAATCAGCAAGCAAATTTGACGAGCTTACGATGAGTGGTGTCATTTAAGGGTAATCGGATCACTCAGAAGTTGTCTATAAAGTATAACTTCAGCTGGTCGACGGATTATTCTTCCCATTCAAGTCTCCATTGTGTTCGCTATACGATGACCAAATCGAGAAGAATCTCCGTTTCCATCCAGAGGACGTTTTCAATCATCCCGCCATTAAAGGCAAGAAAATAGGACTGTGGATTGATCTCACGAAGACTGATCGTTACTACTTTGTTAAGGAGGTTTGACATAATACACTCATTTTTTTAATGATTGCAAATAAGTTCACGGTTCCCAACTCAACCATCCTACCTCATAATGTGTTTTGATTTGATCTGACTACGAGATTTACACCACGCTTGCGCGCGTCAGTTACCTTATGGTGTTGTCCTTGCGCGTCTCGTTTTTGTGGCCTTGAGGGTGAACTAAGGCAGGATTTTGGCTGCATACAACCCCGTCCTATTCAAGCCCTTCCCTTCTCTACATCTCTCAGTGTGGAGCGTCAAGCGCACATCCACTGTCATGCGATTGTTGAACTGGCCATCTGATCGCTTTTAGGTGATAGCCCAGTTTGGTGATCAATTGCCTTAATTTCCAGCTTAACAGGATTCCATTATCACTTTTCAAGCACAAAACACATCAGAATTACTTCCCTTTCCTTCGAATTTATAGGCCATCCTTTTGAATTTTCAAGTCTAGCCTGTTGTTTGTTCAATATTAATGCTTAGCTGCTAGACTTCTCGAATGGATTCTGCCATCCACTTATTTCGCGGTGCACTATCTGTCCTTTAACTCTACGAATAACAAAAGGTCGCGCAAAGCATGGGGTGATCAACTTCGAACCGTTCGTGTCGTCAGTTTTCATTTCGAGTCAGCTAGTCGGTAAAGACTTATCATTGGTTGTCGGCAATACATATAACTCTTATTGTTAGCTATTTAATATCATGGGACTACTAAGCAAATTCGTATGTCCATTCTGTTTTATACCGAATCGGCTATTACCATTTCGAATCGTTATTTGATTTATTTGAAAGTTACGTATCACACACCATCACATACAGTTTAAGTAACTTCAACTAATGTCCAATGGAATTTTCGCCAATGCCCAATTTAGGTAGAAAGTCATGGATGCATATATCGTAAAATGCCACTAGCAGGTCATGGTTCTTCACCTACGCAAGACGAGACTGATCGATTTGTGCGCCTTGTTCAAGGATTTACGAGGGTAGGCTTCTTCTGCCGTAATTCAGTTGAGGGGTTTTGCATTGATGAGTTCTGATGAATCTGGTCCTTTTCAGGACCATCCAGGAGAAGTCGTTGGGGTTCACTGCACCCATGGATTTAATCGCACAGGATTCCTTATCGCAGCTTACATGGTTGTTGTCAAGGTAATATATTATACTTTTCGGGCTTTTTTATTACGGCTGAAAGATCCTTAGCAAAACTGTTGCGAGTCCCTTTTTCTGTACCGTATCAAATCGCGCATAATCTCAGTATGCTAGGCTTAAGTTTTACTTCAGCGAAAACTATTGTGAGTTTGTCATAAGCTCCACTCAACTCGGCCGATTTAAGCAGTTTTTTTNTTTTTTTATCGAACTGATAATTCTGTCGGAGGCACCTGTCTGAATTACATGTCATTGTCTCACTTATTTGTGAAGTTACACTTGCTTTTGTAAGAAGAAAAAAAAGTGGTCTCGGCGACTTCAACAAGTTCCCGATGTCAGTGGCACTGTTTCTTGTAGAGCGGAAAAGTGCTTCGAACATGGTTTGTAGGATGAATGTTCTACTGCGGAAAAATTTAGAATGCTGCTTCAGCACCCCGCAGTCGTTAAGCTGTTTATGTTGTCGAGAACTGTTCATAAGTAAGCAAAGACCTGAAGGAAGGTAGTGGGCGTGTTGATGGCTTAAAACTCCCCTTGCAGCCGTTCACTGATAAGCATAATGTTAAGAGGGAGTTGACGTTCGAAAAACCACTGCTCTGCTTTTAGAGGTCCTGTCACTGCAGTTAATGTCACACTGAATTATTTTGAAAACTTTGATGCACTATCAGAGTCCTAGAAGGGCCAATCCTCGTTTTCTATAGAAAACACAATTTCTCGAAATAGGGCACTCCATCGAAGTTTAGACTACATCGAACTACTAGAACGCATAAAAGCAACAAGCAGCTTTATCCTTGTGATAAATCCTATAATCGAATTTATGCTTACGATCCGGAGATGAATAACTATTCCAGTGAGTGCCCTGCTATAGATGAAGCACAGGTAGAACAATCGCGAGATGCTCGCAGTTTTTTTTCGAATAGCCTCATAGTGGGTGTTCTGAAAGTTTCGCAGTTAGCTATTCACAAAAAGAGACCGAAATCATAGATAGGCAGCTCTTGTTTCCTGCGTCACGGTAATATTCCACCCTCCACTGTATTGACTCTTCTCAGCGATTACAATGAAGCTTGAGCTACATGGAGATTCAGTGTTAGCAGCTGCACACTTTCAAGGCTGAATCTTGTCTTTTCCTTCATATCCTTCATTTTCCAGGGAACGGAAAGGAGCGCTGGCAGAAGTGCATTGTTTCGGATGAGGGTTAAATTCATTTTTCTGAGCTTATTAGCATGTATAGTATACAAATGTTTTCAATTCCTGACTACTTTATGTTTTCAATGGTATTTCACAGTGATTTAACTCAAAATCAGTGGCAACTATTTACAACTTCCTTGCTTGAAATGAAGTACCCTCTTATATGGTAAAAATCAAGAGAAAGCAGTGGGAAACATGAGCAATTGAAAGGTTAATCACGATCGCACTGTAAGGTCTTCCTGGAAATTGTTGAGTTTCCGAATACTCCTGCATTTACTGGTCAAACAAACTTTCTTCTTGTTCGATTCTTTCGGAATGTGCCTCTTGAGTTCTATTTCTTGGGGTTCAATGCGAATTGGGGTTGTATTGAGACGGGTTTGGCTAATGAAGAACGCAGAGTCATCATCTCGAAAACGTTCTTTTCATTATTCCGGAATGGGTATTTTATCACTACCCCTCTATAGGGTGAATCCAGCTTGCTTGTATTGTGTGCGTCCTTGGCGACGTAACGCTCAGTCTCGTCTCTGTTGGGGAAAAGCCGTGGCCCAGTCAACCAGAATGAGGACGCGGCTGAAATTCTAGAAATGGAGACGGTTTTTTGACGTCAAACCTTCTTACTCACACATTTTCACAAGGGCCTTGAGAGATTTTATGTCGGATGGACTAATACATACCGAAAATATTCGTAGAAAGTACCTTTGTGGTACTAGAAATAGATGTATAGGGTAATGCCTAGAGCAGAGGAGAGCGCTGTTGTAAAATTTGTTTAAAAGTTTATTCAAGCTGAACTAATTATTTCGTCCTCTATTTGGTTGTGAGTTGAATGTCTTCGCTAAAAGTCGTTAGATTTGCAGGACTGGGCTGTGGACTGCGCAGTTCTGACCTTTGCCAAGGAACGGCCCTGTGGCATCTATAAGCAAGATTACTTAGGAGATCTCTTTGAAAGATATGGGGATCCAGACGACTGTTTAGAGGTATGCTTTACTCAATTATAATATTCTCCATTTCGATGGTCGAGGCTCAAGCTGCTAACTATCCGTGGTGTTGAACTTAGAAGCTTTTTTTTTCAAGTGAAATGAATGCCATCCTCATTTGCTATTCCAATTCAGGCTCCGAATAAGCCGTCCTGGGAGTATGGGGATGCTATTGGCTATTGCGATGACAGCGAGGCGTCAACAAGCGTGGCTCACCCTCAAGAGAACACTGAGAACTTAGAAAATGGAAAAGGTATGGTTAGAGTGATTCGTCCACGAATGGTTCAGCAGAACGGTTCCATTTCTTAGAGAAACCTCGTGGCAAGCAGTTCATGGACGGTTTGGTTCGTGGAGTGGTCCTTGTCACGGACCCTCTGAAGAAAAAGATGCTACAAGGAAAAGTAAGACCTACTATCCTTGTTGACATGTGTTTCGACTCATTTTACTCTGACATGTTGCTTTTTCAGATCAAGGAACTAGTTGGGGCAAAGCGAGATGGCTTCCCTGGGCTCCAGCCTGTTTCTTTAGAAAGATCTCGTGATAATGACAATCTAAAAATGTTAGCACAACGGCCTTACATGGTTTCATGGAAAGCGGACGGAATGAGGTTTCGACCTCCTCACATTTTCTTTATTTCTGTAAATATTACTTCAAAGGTTCCCTCCTTGAATATGATTTACCTGATATATTTTCAGATATATGGTTTACATTTGTGATGAGAATGAGGTATATGCATTTGACAGGGATAACGAGGTATGGTTGTTAATTTCTGTTTACTAATTTGCTTAAGAATTTCATTTCGTTTTATTTTCCTTATTTTTCCTAATTTTTTTCCAATTTTCTAACTCTGAAATAACCTCGAAGTACTTCTTTTCCAAAGAATTTCCCTCCCTTTTCTCTTATCCTTCCGCATTTCTCCTACTCTAATTCACAACCGATTACTCGACACTTTATTTGTGTGTTTAAGTGCGCATGCTTATCACCAAAAACCCATTTCCTTCTCTCATAGCTAATTCTCCAGTTACGCCTCCCACTTAATGTCTTCTTGTTCTGTTCCAACTGGTATAATTTCTTCTTTCCTTTCTGGGTCCCGTTACTTCTTTTTCTAATCATTAATTTATTCACTTTCCATACTATTAATGAGCTTTTCTTGTGTTCCTACTTTTTACCATACTTTCTCTCATTTTACATTATATTCTACCGCTACTCCGCTTTTTAAAACCAAAGAAGAAACGGATAATTCATCAAAGTTCCTAGCTGATCATTCGTGCGGATCCTTCATTAAATTTTCAGGTATTCCTTATTCAAGGGTTATCGTTTCCGCACAGAAAACACCCTAGGCATATAGTCAACACATTAGTAGATTCAGAAATGATTATAGACCATGTAAGTTCCGCTTTTCCGATAAACCTTGCAGTGTTTCATTTCTATTTCTTACTGATTAAATATCTGAGTTTATGAGTTTTTTAAGGTCAAAGACGAGCACGGAAATACACGTGACCTGCCAAGATTGTTAATATATGACATTATTCATTTTGAGGTAACTTTTTCTACGATCCACGATCCTCTACGGTGGATCTCTGCATCTCATTTTGGTGCTAAGTGGGTTGGGGGGGGACCACGCGGCGCGGCTGCGGCGCGGCACCCTGCGCTCTCCAGCGAGCTAGTAGTGGGCCTGAGTCTGGGGCCCGTATGCACAACTCCCGGGGTAGGGGAGGGGGAGGAAGTGTTTGTTTTCGCCGTGGGTCAGATAAGTGACGCTGGAGCGCAGTATTTTACGCCTCTAAGACAGTGTTAAATTGATATCCGAAGCTCTATTTCTCGATTAGATGA